TGTGTGTGTATATATATATATATGTATATATATATATATATTTATTTATTTATTTAACTAATAAAACCCGATAACTCTGGGAAAAGCCACTGAGTTCCTATTTGGAACCGGTAACACACAGGCTGACCTCTCCTTGTCATACCTATGAACCAGCAGAAGTGAAAACTAAATTATTGCTGGTGTCTGTGACTTGGACCTAGGATTTTTATAGGGTGGGGTCTTTGAGACACTGGCACATGATCTGTGGAATGCAAGCCTTAGGGGAGGTGAGAAACTAGGACCTGAATGAGAAGGGGGTAGACTCGGAGGAGATAGAGTTGAGATGACTTTATTTTCTTTAACTATCACTCATTTTTCTTTAAGTTTTTGCTGTAGGGCATGTGCACTTGCCAGAGAAGAGGGAACGAGTGAGAAGTCACTCCTATGGGGGATGGCCACTTTGTAGTATCATCTCCATTCTCCTCTCAGGATTTTAGGCGTGCATGCACATAAGTCTAGGAGTTGAACTGTGAAGTCAGCCATGTGCATTTCCGTGATCTTAACCTACACGCCATCTTCTGACCCTTTATTGGAGTATTTTAGAAGCAAATATCAGATACCATTTCATGCAATACTCCTTTCTTTAGATGAAAAGGCAGATTGATTTAAGTTCATCTTTTCTTTTCTTTTCTTTTCTTTTCTTTTCTTTTTTTTTTTTTTAAGAATTATCTTGGTGACCAACAGGTGGCATGGTGGTTAAGGTGCTGGACATTCCCACATGGCCAACCCTAGTTCAAGTCCTGGACCTGGTGGCTTGCTTTCTCACTTTCTCTCTCTCTGTGTGTCTCTCTGATCAAAATAAGTAAATGAATAAATACAAAAATAATTTAAAAAAAGAATTATCTTATTTATTTATTTTAATTTGACCAGAGAGATACACAGAGAGAGAGAAAGGGAGAAAGCCACCAGGTCTAGGACTTGAACTGTGGTCGGCCATGTGGGAGTATCTAGTGCCTTAATTATCATGCTACCTGCTGGTCCCCTAAATTCATCTTTTTAACGGTTGTGACTTTGGTCATTTTAAATAAACTTTTCTTTCAATTTCAAGAGAGAAATAATCAGTGATTGGAATGATTATGTTAGAACTCAATGAATTATAACTTTTAAAAAATATTCTTTATTCTATTTAACTTTATTTATTTTGTTCTATTTTATTTTTTTAATTTGATGGGGGAGAGAGAAAGCAAGCTGCCAGGTCCAGGACTCGAAATGTAGTTGACTCTGTGGGAATCCAGCACCCTCCACAACCACATCACCTGCCAGCCCTGAATTTTAACTTTTTTAAAGATTAGCAATGGTCTTTTAGTTGGCAGGAAGGTTTTTGTTTGTTTGTTTGTTTTTAATACCTAGGAGCATGTTTTATGGATTTAATAAAATATACATAATAATATGTATATTAATGAATTCATGTCAAGCAAAGGTAGAAAAACAGATCTTATCGTAGTTGATGCTTTGCAGTTTGTGTTTTTCCTCACAAAAACTTAAACTATGGAGTATTCAAACATGAACCTTTCTCTTCTGTATTTCCCAGACTGGTAGTGGAAGGTAGAGGTTTGTCCAGATTCACATCTGACTATTTTTTTTTTTAAGAGAGAGATTTTTGCTATAGAGTATGTGTGCTCGCTGGAGAGAGAGAGTCAGAGAGACAGCCGGGATCTTGGGCATGCACGCACATGTGCCTGGTGTGAGTTTCAAGCTGCCAAGTCTGGCACTTGAACCATGGTTGGCCATGTGTGAGTCCAGCGACATAGCCACTGTGCTATCTGCTGGTTCCTGTTATCAGTTTCTAAATGAGTTGGTGGTTCGCTAGCATCCTCCAACTAACAGCGTTCTCTTGACTACGATGGTGCCATCTGCTCTCCTTTGTTTTCCTCAATTGCAGTTTGAAAGCTGAATGGCTCTATAGTCAAGGCAAGGGGAGAGCATATCGGCCTGGCCAGCACATCCAGCTTGTCCAGTACCTGGCTACAGTCTGTCCTCTCACTTCTGCACTGGGTCTTCAGACTGCAGAAGACGCCAAACTGGAGAAGATTCTGAGCAAACAGAAGTAAGTCAGTATGTTTAAGAACTGACGCATTCACAAGGGAAAATGTCTGGAGTCTTCCCTGCAGGATCGGCAGTCCCATGGCGAGTGCCATGGCCCATCTTTTTGTACCCTTGGCTCCTGCAGAGGAAGCTGAACCACACAGTACAGCGCAGCTGGCTGCACAGCAGCTGTATTGCTGGTTACTTCCAGAATGAGAAGAGCCAAATCACTGTGTGGAAATGGGAATTATTTATCTTTAAAACAATGATTATTTATTACTCTTATTTTTATATTTGCTACGGGGCACACGTGCTCACCAGAGAGAGGAGAGAGAAAACAGAAAGAGAGAGAGAAAGCTGCTAGGTCTGGCACTTGAACTGTGGGTGGACATGTGGGAGTCCAGCGCCTTAACCCCATGCCCCCTGCTGATCCCTTAATTTTTCTTTTTTTTTTTTTTTTTGGAGAGGTTTTTTTTGCTACAGGGCGCATGTGCTCGCCAGCCAGACAGAGAGAGACATAGAGACAGAAAGTGAGAAATCACCCCTCAGGGGGGATGGTCACACCACAATCCCTTCTCCTCCATTCTCCCCTCGGGATCCTGGGCACGCACGCACACACGCCTGGCATGAGTTTTAAGCCACCAGGTCCGAGACGCGAACCGCGGTCGACTACGTGGGAGTCCAGTGACATAGCCATTACGCCTACTGCTGGTTCCCCCTATATTTATCTTTTAATGTGTATTTTTTACTTGTTTGTTTTTAGATGTTTGTCACAGGGTGTGTGCGCTTACCAGAGGGAGACAGAGACTGACCGTGAGAGGGAAAGTAAGAAAGCCCCTAAGGGAATGGCCACACTGAAATTCCCTCTCCTCCTGGGATTTTGGGTGCATGTGTACACATCCCTGGCATAATTTTAGAGCCACCAGGTCCAGGACTCGAACCGTGGTGGGCCATGTGTGATTCTAGCACCTTAACTACCGTGCCACCTATTGGGCCGTCTTTAAATTTTGCTAAAGGACACTTGTGCTTGTGGTGGGGATGGGAGAAGAGAGAAAGTGTGAAAGCACCCCCTTTTCCATTTCTCCTTTCCAGCGTTTTTGGGCATGCACACATAAGCGCCCAGTGTGTTTTTCAAGCTGGCAGGTCTGGGGCTCAAACCATACTATCGGTCGTGTGGGATCCGGCCACTTAACCACCATACCATTCATGGGTTTTAAGTTCTAGCATTAAGAAGTACACCTAGAGGGGTCAGTCCCATAGCCTAGTGATTAAGGGAAACCAGATCCTATGTGAACTGTGGTTCAAGTCGTAGTATGGTGGCTTGACAAAGAAGCAAGACATGAGTGTGTGCACACCCCAAACCCCAACAGGCTGGGAAGATGGAGGAGAAGGGATTGCAGTGCGATCGTGCTCTATTGTGGTAGTGGGGAGGGGTCTTTCTCCATCTTCTCTCTTTGGGGAGCACATGTTCCCTCTGGCAATTAAAAACAAAATGTATAGTTCCATCTGTCAGAGATCTGCCTTTAAATGTGTGTGCATGTGTACATGTCTGTGCATGAGAGTGTCTGTGAAATTTTAAAATAAGTTTCTTAACTTTTTCTGGCCAGTGATTTCACACGAGACTATATAACTTGGCACAAAAGGTTTCTGTTTTGGTTTGTGTTAGGTTAACATCAGATGTTATTGATTTTTAGGTTTCACCAGAGGCAATTGATGAACCAAAGCCAAAATGAAGAATTATCTCTTCTTGCTCCTGTTGAAACAAGGGCACCCATTGTACCTGAGCACTCAAGCCCTGTTCAAGATGGCCAGATAGTCCAGGAAAGTGGTAGGATATTAATTTATTTCTAATCTCTTTGTTTCCAAGCCATTTTTTTCTGTTTTTCATAAAACAGAAAAAAAATGTGTTTTCATAAATTCTGATTAATTTGTTAACTTTTGTGATCATTTTGACCTTTTATTATTTCTTTTTAGTTTTTCTATAGGGTGTTTGTGCTCGCTGGAGAGAGACAGAGAGAGAGAAAGAGAAAGTGAGAAATTACCTCCCCGGAGGGATGGCAATGCTATAATCCATTCTCTATTCTTCTACGGGATTTTGGACATATGCATACATGTGCCTGGAGTGATTTTCAGGCCATCTGGTCTGGGACTCAAACTACACAGTCCATCATGTGGGATTCAGCCACTTTAACCTCCTGTGTTCCATCTGCCAGCTCTGATCTTATATTTTATGTGTGTATATGTTTGTATATATGTAGATATGTATATATATGTGTTTTATAACCACTAGATTTCTATTTTGTTTTTTAAAGTTTTTGCTATAGGGTGTATGTTCTCACCAGAGAGAGAGACAGAGAGCAAATAAGAAATCACATCAAGAAAACCAGCAGTTAGCGTAATGGCTATGTCACTGAACTCCCACGTAGTCGACCGCGGTTCGCGTCCCGGACCCGGTGGCTTAAAACTCACACCGGGTGTGTGTGTGTGCGTGCCCAAGATCCTGAGAGGAGAATGGAGGGGAAGGGATTGCGGCGTGACCATACCCCCTGGGGGGTGATTTCTTGCTTTCTGCCTCTATGTCTCTCTCTCTGTCTGGCGAGCGCACGCACCCTGTAGCGAAAAAAACCTCTCCAAAAAAAAAAAAAAATCACCTCTAGAGGAGCTGGCTATGACGGAAAGCAAGAAATCACCCCCCGGGGGGATGGCTACGCTGCAATCCCTTCTCCTCCATTCTCCTCTCAGGATTTTGGGCACGCATGCACACGCGCCCGGCATGAGTTTTAAGTTACTGGGTCCGGGATGAGAACCACGATCAACTACGTGGGAGTCCAGCGACATAGCCATTACACTAGTTGCTGGTCCCTAAATTAAAAAAAAAATAATTATTTATTTAATTTTATTTATTATTATTATTCAGTTTGACCAGAGAAAGAGAGAGAGAGAGAGAGAGAAAGCAAGCCACCAGGTCTAGGACTTGAACTATGATCGGCCATGTGGGAGTCCAGTGCCTTAACCACTATGCCGCCTGCCAGCCCCTATATTTCTAACTTTTAAAAACACTTCAAGGACTGCTACCTTCTGTATAGACCTGATACTTTGATTATTCTTATGATTATTAGAAGAATTCATCTTCTTCTTTTTTTTCTTTTTTTTAGAGGGTTTTGTTATAGGGCACGTGCAGTCACCAGACAGACAGAGAGAGACAGAGAGACAGAAAGCGAGAAATCACCCCCCAGGGGGGATGGCCACACTGCATTCCCTTCTCCTCCATTCTCCTCTTGGGATCTTGGGCACGCATGCACACGTGCCTGGTGTGAGTTTAAGCCACCGGGTCCGGGACTCGAACCACGGTCGACTACGTGGGAGTCCAGCGATACAGCCATTACACCAACTGCTGGTCCCAAGAATTCATCTTCTTAACAGTATTTGTTTGAAGGATGAGCAGATGGTGTAATGGTTACGTCGCTGGTTTTCCACGTAGTCAACTCTGGTTTGAGTCCTGGTGGCTTAAAACTCATGGCAGGCATATGTGGGTGTATGCCCAAAATCCTGAGGGGAGAATGGAGGAGAAGGGATTTGGCATAGCCATTTCCCCTAGGGGATGATTTCTTACTTTCTGTCTCTATCTCTCTGGTCTCTGGTGAGCCCACATGTCCTACACTAAACATCTCTCAAAAAAAAAAATCTTGTTTGCTATTTTAAATATATTGAAAGAAATGATTAAAGGCATTTTGTTGCATTTTACTGTATTTTGGAGACTAGATTTTATTAAAAAGATATAATTGTTAAAACTATTTAAATATTTAATGGTTTAAATGATACTTTGTTGATTCTTCCAGAACTTGTCACCCAAGTCAATTCTTGGGTTGGGGCAAGCAGTAATGATGATCAATTGCATGCTGTTACGAATAACTTTCCAGCCTCTGGACACACCACAAGATATTCACGAAGTGACCTGCACCTGGAAGACATACAAACCGATGAGGACAAGTTAAACTGTAGCCTTCTCTCGTCAGAGTCTACTTTCATGCCAGTTGCATCAGGACTTTCTCCAGTGTCACCTACAGTTGAGCTGAGGCTACAGGGCATTAACTTGGGTGTAGAAGACGGTAGTGTTGCAGATGAATCTGTGAAAGGGCTGAAAAGCCAGGACTTGTGTAAGGAAGAGGGAAAGACTCCATGGACTGTAAATGAGGATTCTGTTCAGATGATGACGGGTGAGATCAGTGCAGAGGTAAATGAGAACACTGGGCTCTTACCTTGTCCTGAGCCAACAGTAACCAGTGCTGTCCTGAAGGATAAAAGCCATGGCCTTAAATCTTTTCCCGAGTCCACTGGACACAGTCTCTCCCATACACAGCCAAGCAGTGAAGAAAGCATGTCCCAAACAACTTCAGAGAAGCTTCATTTCAGAATTTTAACCCAGAAATCTGCTGCTTTGGAACAAGATAAAGTTTCTCTTCAAAAACTGAATGAAGCGGCCACTAAGCTTCAGGCTTGTTGGCGGGGCTTTTATGCCAGAAATTACAACCCTCAGGCCAAAGATGTGCGATATGAAATCCGGCTACGCAGAATGCAGGAGCACATTGTCTGCTTAACTGAGGAGATAAGAAGGTGGGTCGGGGGCTGGCAGGTTGCATGGCGGTTAAGGGCGCTGGACTCCCACGTGGCTGACCAACCGTGGTTTGAGGCCTGGATGTGGCAGCTTATTTTTTTGCTTTCTCTTTCTCTCACTCTGTCACTTTCTGGTTATATTAAAATAAATACATAAGTAAATAAAGCTAAATAATAAAGTAATGTTTTAAAAAAGATCATAGAAAGTGCATATTAAAAAAAAAAGGAAGATGGGTCAAAATTCTTGCTGACGTGCTGGTTTGCAGGTGTTAGATTCTTAGAGTTGATTCAGAACACTGTACTGCTGTGGTCATTTCTGGTCACTTTTCGTACGAGGTTCGCCCTTGTATTCTTGCTTGTCTCCTCCAGGATACTGAAGGTTATCTCTAGGGCAGAGACTGGCATGCATCTCCATTCCCAGCACAGCAGTGGTACATCGGTCAGTGTTGTGGCTGATTGTGAGCTTTATAGGCATCTAGAATTCTAAACATAGTAAGGTACAGGAAAATGAGAATGTGAGAGGGCCAGCAGGTGGCATGGTGGTTAAAGGCGCTGGATTCCCACATGACCAACCGTGGTTCGAGTCCTGGACTTGGCAGCTGGCTTTCTCACTTTCCCTTTCTCTTGCTCTCTCTGTCTCTGTCTGGTCAAAATAAAAAAATAATAATAACAAGTGGAATTAAATAAATAAATAATTTTAAATAATGAGAAGATGAAAAATTCTATATAGAACCTAATAGGTGATATAAGAAAAGAAATAGGGATTAAAAAGAGGCTAGTATTCTGGGGCTTCCACAGGAGAAGGAAGTAAAAGAGACTGAGAAGGGACAGCCAGTGTAATAGTAAAATTAGGCACGTTTGTACGTGTTTTAGGTCCAACGGAAGAAAACGTTTCAGGAGAGAGGAAAGGTGTCATATGGAGGCTAGAGAAATCCACATTAGATTTAGCAGCTGAAAGTGACTGGTGACTGCTGAGGGCCCCAAGACTGTCTTCAGTTTCGATAGCTTGGCACTCAGGAACATTGTTCTCACAATGTAAAAAGGCTCGGAGTTTTTCCTAGTGAGCGCACGTGCCCTATAGCAAAAACCTCTCAAAAAAAAAAAAAGAATGGCCTTTTCCAGGTGACGTTGAGAGAGAGAGGAAGAGAGAGGCAAGGGGCCTGAAGATATTTGAGAGGGGATAACAATGATGGATCTTAGGGTTTAAATGCATTGAAAGGCAGAGGAAAGGTCATTAGATAGATACGAGGTCTAAATGTTGCAGTGGGCTTGTAAGAGCAAGTGGTGTAAGAGCAAGTTAACTGGGAGGATGGAAGGGTAGTAGTTGGTGTTGGGTGCTTATGATTCTTTTTTTTTTTTTTTTAAGTTTATTTATTTCCATGAGTCAGAGGGACAGAAAACACTCCCAGTACGGTCTCGTTGCTGTGATCTGCCCTTAGACTCAGCCAGTCCTGTGTCATGGACACAAACCTGGAACCTTCCCACGTGGGTTAGCCTCAGAGAATGCCGCACTTGATCACTGTGCCCCTGTCTGTATCCCTGGGATCATTTTTGTTTCTGCTGTAGGCTGTGTGTGCTCGACAGAGTGAGAGAGAAAGTGAGAAATCACCCCCCGACAGGAGGGATGGCCATGCCACAGTTCCTTCTCCATTCTCCTCTTGAGATTTTAGGCACGCACGGACACATGTGGTACTCCCCTCACACTGCCAAGTCTGGGACTCAAACTGCAGCTGGCCATGTGGAACCCAGCACCTTAACCTCCACTTGACCTGCTGGCCCTGGAATTGTTTTTTAAAAGTGGCAGAGTTGAAATGTCTTCTTGTAGGGTATGACCGCAAAACTGGATGACTGACATGGGGTGACCATTGCTAGACAGAATGTCAAGAGTTTCAAAAAATGGTAGCAATGGGCAGAGGTAAAAACTAGCACTGAGACTTCAGAGAGTGGGACAGATATGAGGGGTCAGTACTTGACAAACAGGTATGGGAAATTTAGGATGGCAGGAGTTCCTAAAGGTAAAAGGTGAAGAATCATTTGAAAACATCAGTGAGAAGCAGAGAAGAAAGTAGCTTCCACTTGCGAGGGTACAGTTCTCTCAGAAGTGGGTCCGTTTTGGCCAAGGAAAAGTTCAGAGAGAGCATAAATACATAGATTATATTGGTGGGTTTGCTGGTTACAATTCAGGAGTCCCAGTTGGTACAAGAAAAAGACTTGGAGGGGGTAGAGAAGGTGGAGAATTGGGTCAAAAGTTCTTAATGAATGGTGGTGACACTGTGGGTGATTATGAATAACCAAAGGAGTCAGCTTTGTGATAGGCTTACGTTTGGAGAGAGCAAGGGTGGATGGCCACACGGCCATCCCTTTTCCTCCATTCTCCTCCTGGGATTTTGGCCATGCATGCACGTGCATCCAGAGTGATCTTCAAGCTGCTGGGTCTGGGACTTGAACTGCAGCTGGCCGTGAGCTTTAACTGTCACACCACCTGCTGGCCCCTCATTAGTCCTTCTTTTTTTTTTTTTTCTTTTTAGAGAGATTTTTTGCTGTAGGGTGCAGAGATAGGTGAGACAGAGAGACAGAAAGCAAGAAATCACCCCCCAGGGGGCATGGCCACACCGCCATCTCTTCTCCTCCATTCTCCTCTCGGGATCTTGTGCATGCATGCACATGTGCCCGGTGTGAGTTTTAAGCCATCATTAGTTCTTTATAGTGTGATCCTTAGGTGTTTTAGGTGCTTTGAATATTAGGTTGTTGAGAAAGTCATGACATATTTTTCTATATTTTGATGCAAAAATGCGTCATGACTTTCCCAACAACCCAGAAATACTTCTTTCTGTATCTTCTGCCCTGTTTGTATGTTTGGCTAGGAAATTGAAGCCAGTTAATGAGCTATTCAATATTATTATTATTATTATTATTATTATTATTATAAAAAAAATCATTATAAATACAAAACAGTTTAGTTATTCTCAGAGGGGAAAGGACTATTACTAGATTATTACTCTTTTCACGCTGCATATGTTCAGTAGTCGTAAGAGGAAGTGCAAGTCAGTAGTTGTAACAGAAAGTGCAAGTCACCCTTACTTGCACTTACCAGTAATGTGTTTTGAATTACTGTAGGTTAAGAAAAGAAAGAGATGAAGAACGTATTAAAAAATTTGTGCAAGAAGAAGCTGTCAGATTCCTTTGGAACCAGGTAAGCCTCCTCCTGTTGATTTATCTAGTATATGAAGAAAGACAAATTCTGCATTCATTGGGGTAACAGTGGAGTAGTCAGCTGTGAAAGGCACCCTCTCTCAAGGTTAAGGTTGTGGTTTCTCTTCTTTGCCACTAACTCTGAACTAGAACAATGAATTTTGTTGTTTTATTTAATCTGAGGAAAAATGTTTTCATAGTTTTGATAGGAAAGACGAAGTAGTATGAAGCCAAAGGAAAGTAGCTTAATTGAATGATGTTGTTATAACTTTCCAGTTAAAAAAAATAACCCAGGTTGAAGTTATATGTAATCATCTATCTGTTTTTATCTTTTGGGAATATTTGAATGTGAGACAATTGGGATGGTGTATGATGGTTACAATATACATATCCTAAAAAGTATACATGATTGCCTAGAAGAGACAGTTTGAATTTTCTTTATTTTTCTCTCTCTCTCTTTTTTTAAGAGAGGTTTTTTGCTGTAGGCATGTGGGCTCGCCAGAGAGACAGAAAGTGAAAAATCATCTTCTGGGGGGCTGAACCCCCATGCAATCTCTTCTCCATTCTCTTCTCGGGATATTGAGCACACACACACATGTGCTCTGTGTGAGTTATAAGCTGCTGGGTCTGGGACTCAAACTATGGTTGACTATGTGGGAGTCTAGCAATGTAATCATTACACCATTTGCTGGTCACATCAGTTTGAATTTTCTTTCTTTCTTTTTCTTTTTTTTCTGAGAGGGTTTTTGCTATAGGGCATGTGCCTTGCCAGACAGACAGAGAAAGACAGAGAGACGAAAGCGAGAAATCACCCCCCGGGGAGATGGCCATGCCACAATCCCTTCTCCTCCATTCTCCTCTCAGGATCTTGGGCACGCACACATACGCGCCCGGCATGAGTTTAAGCCACCCGGGTCGGAACTCGAACTGTGGTTGACTACGTGGGAGTCCAGTTACATAGCCATTATGCCAACTGCTTGTCTCGTATCAGTTTGAATTTTCTAATAGTACTGTTTAAAATAGTTCTGAAGCAAAGTTAATTTAGTGAATAGTATAGGCATACTTTAAAGATAGTATAGACAATTAATTTTACTAGTATCATATCAAATAATTTTTATTTTTAAAAATTATTTAATTTTATTAATTATTATTTAATTTGCTGTAGGACACATGTGCTTACCAGAGAGAGAGAGAGAGACAGAAAGAGAGAAAGAAGGAAAGTAAGAAAGCAAGTCACCCTGTCTGGGATTCTAACTGTTGTAGGCCATGTGGGAGTCTAGCACTTAACCACCATGTCACCTTGGCCCCCTTTTTATTCTGGTGGTGTGTGTGCCCGAGAGAGAGAGAGAGAGAGAGAGAGAGTACCCCCCCACACGGAAAATGGGCATTTTTAATTGCCAGAGGGCACATGCACTCACCAGAGAGAGACAGGAAGTCCCGTCAGTAGAATGTGGTCACACCACGATACCTTCTCCATTTCTCCATCCAGGTAGGACTTTGACAATGTATGCACACGTACCTGACATGCTTTTCAAGCTGCCAGGGCTGGGATTTGAAGCACACAGTTGGCCATGTGGGATCTGGTTCCCTTAACCACCAGGCCACAGAGGCAGTTCTCAAGTACTTCTTTTTTTTTTTTTTTCTTTAATCTTTAAAACTTTTTTTTCTCTTTAGAGAGATTTTTGCTACAGGACACATGTGCTCGCCAGAGAAATAGACAGATTCAGAGAGATAGAAAACAAGAAATCACCCCTCAGAGGGGATGGCTATGCCACAGTCCCTTCTTTTCCATTTTCCTTTTAGGATTTTGGGCATGCATGCACATGCTCCTGGCATGAGTTTTTTTTTAAGCCACTGGGACTGGACTTGAACTGCAGTTGACTATGTGGGAGTGATGTAACCATTATGCCATCTGCTGGTCTTTAAATCTTTAAAACTTTTAAGGGCCAGCAGGTGGTGTGGTTTTAAGGACTGGATCCCACACGGCCAATTGCATGAATCTAGTCCCAGACCCTGTGGCTTGAAAACTGTGTCAGCTGTGTGCCCAAATTTCTGAGAGGAGTCTGGTGAGCACACATGCCCTATGGCAAAAATCTAAAAATAAAAAAAGGATCAGATTGTGTGTTTGCCCACCAGAAAGAGAGAGAGAGAGAAAGACATCCTCTATGGAAAATGGGCATGCTGCAATTTTTTCCTCCTTCATTTTTTCCTCCTTTTGGGATTTTGAACATACATGCACATGTGCCTGAGACTGGGGGTGCTATGAAAAAAATAAGAGGAGTCAGGCAGTTTCTACCATTTCTACCATTTAGCTGCTACATTATCACCAGGAAAAAACTATGGACAATTGTAAAATAGGCATGCGTTTTATTTTATAATAAAGTTGTATTTTATTTACCTAAAATAAAATAGTTCTGACCCAAAGTTAATTTAGTGAATAAAATGGTTTATTCAAACCAAGATTGTGAGGATTTGTTGTGTGGAGGAACAAGACTTCAGTTACTGATAGTCAGTGTTTCCCCAAAGAGCGAGAGCCAAGGTTCATTTTACAGAGAGAAAGAAGGGAGGAAAAGACTGGAGGGGCAAAGGAGTTGTAATGGAAGGTTTTTGTTCATTGACCTGTTCAACACAAGCCTTTCATTGGCTACAGACTTTTTGATGTTACATCTCCTAGACAGCCAGAAGTTCTCCAGACAACCAGACCTAGTTTCTGAGTGTCTAGAGTTTGGACATTTTAACAATGCATGTAAGTTAATATATGACTTCGGCTCTGTCAGTCAGTCTGGGAAAGTTTCTCTTATATTGTTCAAGGAGGGCACAGGGTTCCAGTGAGTATGACTGAGGTTCCCCGCCCAAATATCTCTTAGGACCTTCTGAAGTGCTTACAATTTTATTTTCTTTCTCATTCTGGTTTATAGGTAAGGTCTCTGCAGACTTGGCAACAGACAGTGGACCAGCATCTAAGTTCCTGTCACACTGGTGCTCCTCCTATAATAAGCCCTCTGGTGCCATCCAAACCTCCACTATTCACCCAAAGTCAGGAACCCTCATCTGATCAAAATTCTGACTGGTTTGTTGCTTCTGATGAAGCTCCTCAAGAGAAATCCTTACCAGAATTTCCAGACTCTGGTTTTCATTCCTCGCTGACAGAACAAGTTCACTGTTTGCAGGATTCTTTGGATTTCGAAAAAAGTTCAACAGAAGGCAGTGAGAGCTCCATAATGGGGAATTCCATTGACACGGTCAAATATGGCAAAGAGTCAGATTTAGGGGGTGTTAGTGAAGACCATGGTGAATGGGGGAAGGGAAGCTCAAGCAATGAGCAGGATAGCAGTCTGCTTGAACAGTATTTAACTTCAGTTCAGCAGCTAGAGGATGCTGAAGAAAGGACAAGTTCCAATGAAGGGGCAGGAGACAGTAAGTGTCACGTAGATCGTTCCTCAGAAAAATTAGATGTTTGGTCTGACGGTGCTTCTGGAGATGAGACTCATGACACATCTCCTACTCTGCAAGATGAAATCAGCCAGACCTCAGAGAATTGTAAATTAAACACAGAAGTGCAAGAGCAGCAGCCAGAATGTGATCCCTCATTTCAGGTATTGCATGTTGGTGTTACCGTGTAGCATGTCTGGTCTCTTGGGAGGCAGAAATCCCCACCTAACATTTTGTAAGAAATTTTCTTCTCCTTTTTTTTTCCCTTAGGGGACTGCCTCACCCCATTGTTACTATTTATATAGAATTTGTATCTTCTCTTGTATTTTCTAGATTCTAGATGTTGAGCTGAGTATTTGTTTTAATTTTGCTAGCTTTTTACTTAGCTATAATGTATCAAACAATATTTCTATCAAAGCTATATGCACTTTATTTCTAAATAATTGAATTGCATCGTTTCTGTTTTGTACTCATTTACTTTCAAAAATAAACTAGAACATCTTAACAAAAATAGAAAAATTTACCTTAAAGATATAAATAAGAGAATTCTGTTCTATATTTGAGGAAGTTAATTATGTAATAAGGAATTTAATGTGTTAAAGTGAATATAAATGACAAATATGAGAATTGTGTGCTATTGAAATTTGTCAGTCTCCAAAGAACATGTTAAAGTACTTTTTCCTCCCTTCTGAGTCAATGAGACCTTTTTATAATCAAACTTAGGGAGAAAAGAGAAGCTTGTAGGATTTTCCAATGGCAAATGATTAAATTGTCTCATGGCAAACTTTAGTTAATGTCATATATCAGGCTTTTTTGTTTGTTTGTTTTGTTTTTAATTTGCTAGAGGGCACACATGCTTGCTGGAGAGAGACACAGAGAGGGGAAGGGGAATGAGAAAGCACCTCCCATAGCGGATGACCACACTGCAATCCTTCTTCCTCCATTTATCCTTTTCAGGATTTTGGTCACGCAGGCACATATGCCTGGTGTGTTTTTCAAGCTGCTGGGTTTGAGACCAGAGCTATGCATTTGGACATGTGGGATCCAGCTGCCTTAACCACTATGCCACTGGCTAGCCCATACATCAGTTTTAACACATGCTGTAAAATGTTCCACCCAGGATTAAAAATCAAGCTTACTTAAAGAGATAACACAATAAAATTTCTCTTTGATAGGAGGAAAGGAGACACTAAACTCCATTAACTTAGAATAATATCATGATGGCCATTTACCATTTTTAAGTGCTTTTTTTTTAATCCAACAGATAAGCATTTATGTGCCAATATATTGCCAGAAATGAATTTATGTTCATCTTCTCTGTTCCTGCTTATATTTACTTATATATTTCAGCAGAGGGTCCATGGCCATTTACTTCACTTTAGCTTCTGCCCCATAGTGAAAAATATGTGAAATAATACTAGTGGTAGAATATGGATAACTTTTTTTAAAGTACGACTTTCTATCTAATCTCTGAAAAAGTGCCACATTTGGAAGATAATTTAATGGTGGTTAAGAAAACATAAGCCTTGCTTTACTTGGTAAAAAGAATATGTATCTATCTGTAATTTCAAGTAGAAATAAGATTGTATTTGAATGTTTTAGGGTGGGTGCATTTTTTTTTTTTTTTTTGGAGAAGTTTTTGCTAGGGGGCCTGTGTACTTGCCAGAAAGACAGAGACAGAAAGCGAGAAATCACCCCCTAGGGTGGATGGCCGTGTTGCAGTCCCTTCTCCTCCATTCTCCTCTCAGGATCTTGGGCACACACACACACACACACACACACACACACACACACGCCCAGCATAAGTTGAAGCCACCGGGTCTGGGACTTGAACCGCGGTCGACTACATGGGAGTCCAGTGACATAGCCATTACGCTAACTGCTGGTCCCAGGGTGGGTGCATTTGTAAATCAAGAATTTTAGAAGCTTGGTATTTTAATCTTTGAGAATGTTGTAATATTATTTAACAACATATCTGATTTTCCCCAGCCTATGGATATACAGCTATTTAAAACTATGGCAATATTTAAGTGTTCTCTAAATTTAGGTGCTAAGTGTCTATTCTGTAACAGTCATTAGTTCCCTTTCTTTGAAGTTATATCAAATACAAACTTCTGATCCTTAAAGAATAAAGTTGAGGATCACATGGTACACTCCACTATTATTTATAAACATTTCTCCAGTGTGGTAAGATGCATTTTTCTTGGTTTGTAAATATGTAGCACTCAGGTTGAGAAGACTCGGATTTCATTCTTAGAAATCCAAAGTCTCTTGTAAAGGAAATATTCTCTGTCTCTTATACATAAAACAGCAGTCTTACCTTCCAAAGGATTTGCCCTACTGAAGCATGTGTATCAGTGAACACATGTTAACTGAAAATGGACGTTTTTACTTTTTGAATATTGATGATCTTTTACGAATAATTTTTAATTTCTTCTTAAATATACCCTATTTTTCTATTTTACAGTTAAGTGCCTCGTTTGCTGCCCTTAGTTAGACAAGGAGAAACCAATTTGCACTGTACTAATACCAAAATACTGCTTCATGGTATATTCATTCATTCATAAAAGCTGTTGAAATGTCATGGTTCAGTATTACCTGAGTAATACCACTAATAACCTCTCCTCCTTTCTTTTTCTTTTCTCTTTTCTTTTTTTTTAACTTAAGAGTTATTTTTTTCCATGAAAGAGAGAGCAAACAAGTGGGAGAGAGAGACAGAGAGACAGGCATCATCAGTGGGGTCTCCACACTGATGCCTCCCCAGCCTCGGCCAGCCTAGATCATGTGTGCGTGGGTGTGCTCAGACAGGTCCTGGGATGCAAACCCTGGGCCTAGTTCCTGGGACCTTTCCCGTGTGGGGCCAGTCGCTACGGTCTGGCCCCCTCTCTTTTTCTAAGTAATGGCAATACACAACTAAATTAGCTTGATCAGCATTTCTCAGCAGGATTTCCCTTTTTAGCTTTGCCTTGTTTTTCTAGCCCCCAAATAGTATTTGGTATATTTTATTAAGACAAATTGAGCAGAATATGATAATCATTAACATTCTGCTCTTTGTATTTAACTTTTACTAATGTTTAGAAGTGCAAGAATTTTAGTCCCCTCCCTTAACTGTACAGATTATCTTGAATGTAGATAGATGAAAATAATGTAAATTAGAATATAGGAAAACTGTGGCATAGACTTAATATACTTTGGTGGGTTTACAGTGTAATTTAAAAGTAATTTATGTAACTAAGATATTTATTTGGTTTTAACTCTGTGGACTATTCATTGATCTGGCTGAAGAGGTTATGAGTCTAGTAAGGTTTGGAAAATTGAGCTTCCAAAATGGCCTTTCTGGGTTTGTTTGTTTTGTTTTTTTTTTCCAACAGGAGAGGTTTAATTCAACTGTGCAATTTTAACTCACATTAGTTCTTTTGATTTATGGAAGATTTAATTTATCAGTTAGAAATTACTACAGAAGCACATAATATACCATGGTAGAGTCAGAAAGAACATTAGAGATGATCTATTCTAATTCTTTGTTTTAAAGATGAAGCTAAGGCACAGAGAAATTTTTTTTTTTTGGAAAGATTTTCGCTATAGGGCGCGTGCGCTCACCAGACAGAGAGAGACAGAGAGACAGAAAACGAGAAATCACCCCCTAGGGAGGATGGCCACGCCGCAATCCCTTCTCCTCCATTCTCCTCTCGGGATCTTGGGCACGAACGCACAAGCACCCAGCGTGAGTTTAAGCCACAGGGTCCAGGACTTGAACCGCAGTCGACTACGTGGGAGTCCAGCGACATAGACATTACGCTAACTGCTGGTCCCAGGCACAGAGAAATTAATGTGGCTTTTTTAAGGTCACAGCTAGTTAGTGGTAAACAAACCATGAAAACTGACATGTTACTATATTCCCAAATTTTATTATATCCTCTCTATTAATCTTTTTACATTTAGTAAGAAAATCTCTGCCTATTTTAAATTCTCTTTGAAAAAGAGGAAAAAAAACAGCTTCGAAGAGCTACAACTAAAGGCAGCGTTGCTTGTAGAAAATAATTCTTTCAGAACCTTGAATGAGTTGTCTCCAAGAAATGTGATTTGATTAAAATGGTTTTATTTTTAGTTCTCTTTTTTTGGCTATAGGGTATGTGTGCTCTCCAGAGAGAGAGAGAGAGAGAGTGAGAAAGCACTCCCTGTGGAGGATGGCCATACCACAGCCCCTTCTCTATTCTCTTGGGGTATTGGGTACATGCACACACCTGCCCAGTGTGATTTTCAAGCCACCAAGTGTGGGACTTGAACTACACAGTCAGCCATGGATTCAGCACCATGTCCTAAAATGATTTTTAAAGAACAGTAGGAGGAATGGAACTTTTAGAGAACTGCATCTCAGAGTCTTTTATCTATCTGCTGACAAGCAGTATGACAGGTTGCTGAGACACATAACACTTTCTAGTGAGATGCTGAGTCTGATTTCATTTTAGCTTCAGCTTTAAAGAACAGATGTTACAGTTTTAACTCTCCTGGTGTGCAGAAAACGCTAATTGTGATAGTTGGCAATAAACGATTTAGTTTAGTTTTGCATGTTTAATTATTAAAGACATCACAATATGCATGTTTCAGGACAATGTTCATTTAACTAGGTAATTGTTTGTATATATGTAAATAACTTTATTCTTAAATAATGGAGATGCCATCCTTAAGTGTGTACTTTTATTTGTTTTAGGTTATTTTAAGTATACAAACACCATAATAGTGTATTTTCCTATTGTCTACTTAAGACAAAGCTAGTTTTACTTCCCATAAATATTTATATGAAATTTGGGCTTAAGATATTATGTTTTCTCCCTTGGTATTCTTTTGGTGCAAAGTCTTTGAATTAGACTTATAACATTGATGATACAAATATATGAAGCATTTCTTTTCCCTTGAATTATTAAGGCACAGTAAAAATAGAATGTATCTAATGAGTTTCCCATTTATAAAGGGAAGAAAAAAGACTCGATTGTTTCATGTTTATTTTTATCTTGCCACATAACTTATTAAAAGGTATTTATTATCATGTTAATTAAGACAAGGTCTCATTGTGTCTTGCTCTGCCTCAGCCACCCAGCTAGGACTCAGGTGTGCCACCATGTCTAGCTCTCTTTATAGACAGGATTTTGTTTGTTATTCAGGCCGGCTTTGAGCTCGTGATCCTTCTGCCTCAGCCTCCAAGTCGCTGAGACTACAGGTGCATGCTACTGTATCCAGCCTTCAGGTTTGACCAGGAATCAAACTCAGGCCTCGCTTGTGGTCCCAGTTTACAGAGCAGTGTCTTAGCAACACATGCTACCATAGCTGGGCCTGTATTGTGTGTTCTAAAATTTAAATATATGATACCCTCATTCGTGAAGTAAAATAGAAGGGATCTGAAAGGAACAGTCTAGACATTTTTAATAATATTCCTCTCATTGAGGAAGACTGTTAATGCCATATTAAAATGAAATGTTAAGTAAACAAATCAGTTCTCGCAGCCTTGGTGAGAAGTAGATTTTTTTTTTTAATGAGGTGCTTTTTATCAGAATGAATAGAAATCATACTAAATTTCAATTCCTTTATTTTAGGGGATAGCTGGAATTACTTTGTAGTGGCTTTATTCATTTTGTGATTAAATTTGAGTGCTTTATAATAGTTTAAATGTTGACAGAGTTTAAAAATAATTTGATTTTGGACTTTTTTAGATTTCTTTTTAATTTTGTTGTAAAAAGAGTAGATTATTTAACATTGTTATGGTCTGTTTTCTGAAGGCTTAATATTTTATATTGTACTTATTTAATTTGCATTTCAGTTTCTCTAATTTTAAATAAAAGATTTATACATTTGAGTGCTTCATCTTTTTACTTTAGTGATGATTATTAGTAGTTGTTAGTCATGTTGTTTGTAATGAATGGGTAGACAAAGTTCAGAACAAATTGCAAATAGACCCTCTACTAAAGAAGATCCGGAATATTGTCATTATGTAAATGAATTTAAAATAAAACAGTCCTGGCCTTATGCAAATGCTAATTCAGTGTGTTTCAGTGTAGAGTCCATTACGTCCAGGATATTCACTGGATTCTATGGGTAGAGAAGAGTAGATACTTTCCCTCAAAGAGCACAGATGACACCTTTAGGCCCTGGTGAAGACAGTGGATGCTCCAAGTGTTAGGAAGTAAGCTGAGTAGAAACTCCTCTCATCTGAGACAGTTAGGACCTACAGTTGGTTGATGAGTCAAAAGATGAGAGCAGGGAATCATAGAAAAGTATATAAAAAACAATATTTATATATTGCAAACTTGAAATATCTTTGCTGATAGTGTAATGGTAAAATGGTAGTGCAGTGGTAAAATGCAATGCTTTAAGAGGCAATTCCACATGGGGAGGGTCCCAGTTCAAGTCTGGAGACCTCCCTGAGAATGCTGGGAACATGCTTGCCCCTGATCCTAGGCTGGCTAGAAGGCTAGGGGTGGTTGGTGGCAGGGAGATTCTTTCGGGAGTTCTCTCTCCTCCTTCATGAAATAAATACATT